TGGATGTTTGTTACTCTTTCACGCAAAAACTACTGATTAAACCGATTTTGATGAAACTTTACAGGATTAAATTAAATTTCATGCGGGTGCGCGGATACCGCGGATACCGCGGGCACAGCTAATATTAAATATAACTGTAGCATTGGCATGTGATTTTTCTTAAATTGTATTACGTTTAAAATCTCTAATAATCCAGATATACATATATATATTAGTAATCGACTGCGTTTACGATTTTATAAAAGATTATAATGAAACATTCTTTTATAAAATGGTATTCATATAAAGGCCTTTTCTACGTCTCTCGAATGAACCTAATTATAATTCCTTACTTACTACTCTATTTAATCCTTAGTAAAGTCTGCATATAATATAATAAAATCAAATGAAACTCTGTTTCCTATCATCCTAATTTGTTCTCATTAATAGTAGTAACACAGAGAACATAATAGGTATTAATTGTAATAACATATTCTTGAAGAATGTAAAAGGAAATGAGGCTCTTTTAATTTACAGATTGTATAAGATTTATTTTATTAACCGCATGGAGATATTATACTTATATAATATTATTCAGAACTTTTAGTATTTTACGGAACTATTAATAGATGCATACTGAATGTTACACATCATGGTTTTGTATGCCTGAAGTTTATTAGATTGATAATTTAATAAGGCACATGTAAAAAAATATTATGCAAAGTAAATATTTTATGTTTTATATGTAACGGTTAAGCTAAACTAAATCTAAACCGATTATAAAATTCATTTCACATCTAGAAACCTATTAGCAGAAACATGTTGCATTTTATTAAAAAAAAAACTATTCATGAATACAATACGAAGACAGGACGGACCGCTAGTTTATATTAATGTTTAAGAGGAAAGATTTGACTATTTTTGTATGTTTATTTGTAACGGATAAACTCAAAAACTCTACGCGGGTAATGCCGCCGGATACTGCTATAAAAGCATAACAGCATTTTAACATATTTTGTCCCAAACCGTCTACAAAAGCGGAAAGTAAATATAAAATTTACATCTAATGTGCCAAATTAATAAAAAATATGATAAAGGAAATAAAAATTAGTGACTGTATAAAAATCTGACACTCGATAACTTGAAAAGGTAATTGTTAGCGTTTATTACACATTCAAAATTATTTTGATAAAAACAAAATTATAAATATTCCATATACCATAAATAAACTTCTGCTTGTGAAACCAAATTTTAACTCAATGTAGATAAATATTTAATATAGTACGAATAAGTTTAAAATACACTTGACATTAATTTCTTAAGATAATCGAAATAGAATTTCTACAAATTGAAACTAATAAATAGATCTATTTATCAGGCAATAAGAACATGTAGAATTAAAGACTAGAACTATTAACTAATTAATATCAACGTAACCAATAAATAATAATAAAATAACGAGAGCTCAAGGTATCAAAATAAAAAAATACACAAAAAAGAAAAATAATAATTTATTTCAAGCATTTAACACACAACACAGTAAATACAACATTACAAATGAAAATGAAAATAGCAAAATAAAATAACATTTTATTCAATGAATCTCAACAGCGTAAAAATTATTGTGCTCATAAAACGATACGTTGAAAAAATATTAACGAAAGTTCATTAATATTTCCGTAGAGTATTTAAATCGTTGCGATCCGTCGGCCATTGAGTAATATTGAGCCGATTTAATGAATGATATAATATTGACAGTTCTGAGTTTTACACATTAAAATATTTCTTTAAATTCGTATACAAATTAAAATAAAAAGAATCATTTAAAGAGCACTATAATTACGAAATTAAAACAAAAACAAATTATAGTTTAAATTAAACTAATACTAGCTACAATAACGTATGATCTACTTAAGAAATACTAAAAATATTAGTCAACCTTATTGTAGGTAGTCGATTTTTTCTTATGTGACGCACAAAAAGTTCAGAGTCCATAAACCACAGTATCAGTAAAGTAAGTATAGTTCCTATGTTAAACAAGTATATTTGTGGCAGTCAATAATTACTTTACTAAACGACTAAATACTTATTATTAATTCAACGCTTAACTTCTAATTTATCATCAATCGTTCACACGAGTAGTCGCTAGTTAGATAGGAAAAATAAATTCTCAAATAAAAATATTCTCAATAACGGCCAAAAGTTTTAATCTCTTTACAAATGTAACCGATATAAATATTAAAAATTTCGCAAAAAACTTTCATCCACTGCCAACAGTTTTAGGTTTAAAAAATTTAGGGTCGGGAATCGTTTAGCCTAAAAATATTTCCGATTAGCCGCGGTTAATTTTGTATTAACTTTTTTTTTGTAATTTTGTATGTATTTAAAATTTATAATCACAAGAGCACGAGGAACGTGTATTGCGTCGCGCGGCCCGGCCGGCCGCCGCGACTCCAGACGGACGACTGAGACGTGTCCGCGACGCGGCGCGCCACCCTGATCGCTCGCCTCCCCCCCGCCCCCCGGGGTGCCGAACAGCGCCGCCAGAGCCGCACCCCGCCGCCCCGGGGCCGACTTCGTTACGAGCCACTTGTAATCGCGCGCGATTTTTCCGCCTAAGACAAATTAGGCGGGCCGCCCGCCCCCCTTCTCTGATCGTCTTGATCATCTTCTTGTAATTCTTAAAACAAGCAACTTCATCTTTTCTATATTTTTGGACGTCTAATACTGATTTTCACAACTCCCATGTACTACAGCTACTAATATTATTTAAATATTGGTAATATATATGATAAACATATAATACGTACCTACGTCTTGTTAAAAAATAGGTAGTAAGTACATTCAACTGTTATGACGGCGAGCTGTTTTATTTTTAAATAGTATTGAATCGTGGATTTCACTTTCAACGAGCCGAGTCCGAGTTAATTGTAAATAAAATTCAGTCATTCGCAAAAAATTATCGTAATCAACAATACATCAGTGAATATTTCGGCGTGAGCAGAAGTTTACATTTTGATACCTATATGGAATCATTGAGTGACATCATTTAGTTTTAATTTTTCTTTTTTTATCTTTGTATTGATATGACTTCTGTAATCAGATAGTTTTGTTTGATTGACATTTTAGCTATGGAATACTTTTCTATTTGAAAAATGTTTGTTTTGCAAAAGAAATTTTATCAATACACAGAGGTAAAAACTTATTTTAGTTTACTTTCTCTATATACCATAGAATATATCTATAACACTTTTGAAGTAAATATTTTCGAAATTCGAAAGCTTTATCATATATTGTATAATTTAATTTTAAGGGTTTATTTCATACTTTATTCAAAAGAAATTTAATCGAAAGATCTCTTACAGACGGACTGATTTTCTCCCAAAAATTATAATGGAAGCGTAAAAAATTCAATGAAACATTTGCTCAGACCCCTAGCGGTGTCGAGGCCCGCCACTCGGCAGGCCGACACGTAAACAGATGAGCACCGGACGAGAGTATGAATTAATATGATTCTTTTATCAGAGCGCGGTCCAGCTGTCGTTGTTTCGGGGTCGATGAACCTCGCCTGATATTTACACAATCTATGGCTGAGAATTCAATATCTAAATCGTAATTTCATTACGTTTAACTAGAACGGCAAGTGGTAAAAAACCCTAGTTTTATAAATCATTTCCTGTGTAAGATTTTCTCATGTAACATGGAAAAAACATAGTAATGAGTACTCTCAACCACGTTGAAAATGAATTTATTTCTTTTTATTAATAAGACATTTTCAAAAATTATTTGAGTATCAATGTAGATAGATTAGTATTAACTACCGAGTAATACGTTTACCATTTTTGTAAACGAAAATGTGAACAGAACGGGATCGGGTAAAATCTTATATACCTATCAAAAATTTGGACAATATTATGATCACCTATTTTAACATTTTAAATATATCAGTTATTCAGGCGACTAGCTACTTTAAAAACTTTGTAAAATTCGCCAATATTTAATTGCAACTCAACCAGTTTTAACTTATACAACAAATAATGGAATTAATATTAACTCGAAAATATATTATATGACGGTAATTGCAAATTAATCCAGAACTTTTAACGCAAACCGAAAATAATCAGAAATTTATATACAAAATATACTTTATTTAAATTTCAGTAGACCGATTACACTCGTTATATTTTATGTTTAATTCATTTTCATATTTTTTCATAGCATTGAAATTGTTAGGCAATATTTTATTTTTAAGGAATGTAAAATTAAGGATTGAAATAACTGAAAATATGAAATCTTTGTTAATTACAAACATAATATTGTGGCTTGACTTCTACTGGTCGAATAGCAAAATATATCTTTTAAAAGAACGGTTTACGATCTCCGTTAAAAAAGCGAAATAGAATATTATAAAAATAGTGTTTATTTTATTTTATCCGGATATTTTTTAAGTTATTAAAATATTTTACCATTAATTGAATATTACCTAGCTGGCAAATCAATATAAAAAGATTGTTTAACCAATTATTTCATATTTCGACATTATACTATAGGAATGTACAGAAACTACTATTTAATATAAGAGATTTTAGTTAATTTATCACGGACTCATAAATTCAAAATTATACTGTATTTAATAAAGCTTTCTACATTTAACTGCATTTTATTGATTTAAACAGATTTAATTTAATATTTAGAATTTCTTTAGTATCTTAATTTTGCGAATAATAAAAATTGTCTATCACTTTTAAAAAATAACACCTAATATATAATTTTAATTATGGTAAATTATATATTAGGTGTTATTTTTATATCAATTCGACAAAATTTGCAATGGATACATATTTTAAAAATACAACTTTATTTATTTAAAAGTTTTGTTACAATTTCATTAGTCATTAAAAGTTAGGCCGTTAATGAAAATATCTAAATTTTAAATACAATAAACAAAAGTAACTATATTTTCATGCACAGTGAAAACGCAACTGAAAAACAAACGACTTTCACTTGTTCGCACTAATTACCTGTGATGAGTTTTAATATAATTCTTCCGTCTTCGAAAACACTTCAATACAGTAAAATATAATAAACATTATTTTTTTATTATTTTCCCGTCCAACACCACAGTAACAGCAACAAATAGTTCAGTAGTCAATCTAACTTAACAAATCAGTAATATTATTTACATATCTCTACTATCAATTAAAATTTAATTCAGTACTCAAAATCCGTACGTCTAAACTTATATTAATTTTTGTACACTTAACGACAAGTCCTCAACACTGCTAAAGTCAATTTAGAGTCCACTAATTAACCGCGAAATAAAAAAGAACGCGAACCGTCGAAGGAACTTAATACCACTTATAGACTATGCGGCAAAACGAGCCGAATATTTACATTGGAGAAAAAAAAATCAGGTCATTCGGAGGTTACGGGCAACGCAGCCGGTCGGCGCGAGCCGCGACGGGATGTGGCCCTCGAGTCCACACGCGCCCCCACACCGCGCCCCTGCACCGAGCGCCTCACTCCGGCTACTGGAAACCACGTGCGCGCACTCACGACAGAGATGCCGATACCTATCAATCGGTGCGCGCGAAAAGGACGTCGCTATACTTTTTTCAATTTACTATATTTGCTGATTTTTATTATTTTTTCGCATTTCGATATTTTATTTTTTAGTTGATGCGCTCCGCAACTCACCTGTTGTGCTTGACCCGTTTCGATCTGTCGACCGATCATGTGATCAGCGTTTCTCAAAACTTTATCGCATTCCGTTATTATTTCTGTAATTTAACATCAATATTTTTCGTAACATTAAATTAAATAGTCGATTAACACAGATTACTAATTAAAATGGATATAACATAAATAAGTCAGCTATATAAGTACTTACCTATCTATTTTTCTTATAAAAAAATATATCGAAAGGAGATATATCGTTGCCTATAATTTGACTTACACGAACACTTAAAAATATAAATGAAAAACTATTATAGTTATTATAAAAAATAATAAACGATTTAGGGGCAATAGATAACGTACTAAAATATAAATAACGAAAATTACTTTAACGAAACACATATAATGAAAAACGATGGTGCTGCCACTACAGCGCAGCGTCGGATAGCAGAACTAATATTACAGTGCGAGGGAACAGTGACATTAGCGCTCGAGCGGCACAACTAGGAACTATCGCTCAATGGTTCATTCCTAACTCGTGTTGGTTATTTTTTTTCATTTTATTAATCGTGAAAGTGCAACGTTCACTTCGCCGGCCATTCAGCAGCAGTTTTCGTTTGCATTTTCTTTTTCCTTTTCAATGTTTTTTACAGACGTTTTGATCATGTTCTCGAATCTCCTCTCGTAGCTGTCTATTGACAATCTATCTGTTACTTTTGTATTGGTTTACTACGTTGTTTTGTTAAGTTTTTAATCGATGTAAATAGTGTTTTGTACATTTTTATGAATATAAATTTTCAAGTAAAATACAAAATGAGAATAAAAGTATCATATTCATAATGACTAGTTTAAACACTAATTACAATAGATGGCGTTAGGTGTTCTAAACAACCCTGTTTACATTCAATAAAATACTTGCGTGTTTGGAAATACTACAACGGTTTCGATTCCGTAGTAGAAACTTTAATAAAATAGAATATGTACAAATGTCCAGCCTATGATAAATTCGACTTCAATAGCATTATCACTCGTTGTCTGATAGTTCTATTATATGAAAGTGAATCTGTCTATCTGTTTATTGCCTTTTCACTACTAGCACCTGCACGTATATTATGGACACGAAGATAGACTGAGGAAGGCTGTATACTATATTGCCTAAATAAAAAACAAACAGTTGCGATTTAAAAGTATAATATATTAAAGTATATATTATCGTAATAGGTAGGTTTGTTAAATACTCACCGTTATTATAATGATGTTTCTTAGCTTAGTCGGACTGCACTCAGGTGAAACCAGGGGGAGCCGCTAGTCCATTTCACCCTAGAAAACATTACTATTTAAAATATGAAAACAAATTAAGAAATCTGCGGTGAAGGAGATTGTTAGTAACGCGTATTACGAGTAATAACCCCATTGGTATATATCGATGTACCATGTCAGGTTGACCTCCACGCGGCTCCCCCTGAAAACCATCGTGATAAATTTCTGGTGAATTTCCCATGATGAGGTAACTGACGTGACCTCATGCTCATCATATCAACCTCCACTGGTGCCCCTACATAAACCGTTAGCGCAGGTGCCCCATTCAATTATCATCCATTAAAAAATAGCCTTCATATCTTTTTTCCGTATTTCATACAATATTTAAAGAAACGAAATATTTTTTATGAAAATTTCTAAAATATTTATAATTGTAATAAGTATAATTTATTAAAAAAAATTGATTTAGTATTCGCTAGGGTAAGACAAATAAACTGGATAAGTTTGTGTTATATTATTTATCTATACATATAATCTGTACATATAAATAAAATTGGAATGTCTGTTTGTAATATTCAAATAACGTTTTTTACAATTTTTGTCTGTCTGTCTGTTTGTTCCGGATAATCTCTGAAATGGCTGGACCGATTTTCAATGGACATTTATTGTCAGGTAGCTGATGTAATAAAGAGTATCTTAGGCTACTTTTATTTTAGAAAAATAAAGTTAAATTCCACGCGGACGAAGTCGCGGGTGCAGCTAGTTTAAATATAAATTCAAAGGTGTGAATTTATTTAAAAAATTAATAAATCTATCAATATATATTTATTCATGTAGATCTATTACAGACTCTCCGTCAAATATACCGTCAGTTCAGAGTGGTTTCGAGCTGAGAAGAACTGACAAGAAACTCAGCTCTTAGTCTTTTCAAAAGAGGTTGTGCATGTTTACAAAAATACAGATTCATTTTTAAATTCAAGTTTGGGAGAATACAGTCACTATCAGGATATGGTATTGCAATTTTGACAAAAGGAAACAGTGTAATCAGTGCTCGTAACCCGAATAGACCAGAAATAAAAATTATAATAAAAAAGCACACATTTCCCAAAAAATGGTACATATGAGCAGACACATACAGCGTATTCTTTTAGCAAAAAGTTAGCGTTCAAAATTATATTATTGTCTATAGAAACAAAAAAAAACTGTCTCATTATATGTAATTACTAGCTGTTCCCACGACATCGTCCGCGTGGAATTTAACTTTAATTTTCTAAAATAAAAGTATTTTTTGAAAATAACATTAGCCTAAGTTACTCCTTATTACATCAGCTACCTGCCAAAAAAGTCCCGTCAAAATCGTTCCAGCCATTTCAGAGATTAGCCGGAACAAACAGACAGACAGACAAACAATTGTAAAACCTATTATTTTGGTGTGTGTACCGTATTTATATTCATATGCATGTAGTAAAAAAACGGTTATTTCAATATTACAAACAAACACTAATTTTATTTATATTTATAGATAAATTAACCGTCATTCATAAAATGCATAAGAAAGTACATATATAGGATAATTATTTAAAAAAAATTGTCTGTTTGTTATTGTTATTGCAAATCTCTGAAACTGCTTTACTAATTTTCATTATAAAAAATATTGTAAGCTATTGTTATAAGAAATACCTTAGACTTCTTTTTTTTAATTTTATTTATTATAGTAAAAAAAGATAAAATTCCACGCGAATGAAATATATAATTTATACTATATTAATTTTATCAATAAAAATAACGCAATTTGCAACAAATTATAAAATTCTGCTCCAATCGACAACAACTTTGTCGGAGGTGGTTAAAAAAGACATCTTGCTATAGCACTAAAGGCAGGTGTCGTAAACCGCGGGTGCTATTACTTATTTTAAATAAACCGCGGCATCGCGCGTTTCAAGAGGAACTATGTGTAGGGCTCCTCGCGATAATGACATTTCTATTGTAGCTTCCGCTGTCTGTTTGTTTAGATCTTTTAAACTACATAATGAATTTTTATACTGTTTTTAGCAATAGATAGAGTGATCAAGAGAAACGTTTATATATGAATAATAAATTCATGTATATATACTACATATAGAAAAGTAGAGAAATTAATAAAAAAAATAATGCACCCGTGCAAAGTCTAATGCAGAAAAATAAAAACATAAAAAATTAAGCATCTCTGAAAACAGAATAAAGTAAACCTTTATTCTGTTTTAAGAGATACTTAATGATGCTTAATAATTATGACGATTGTTTATATGTATTACAATATGTTTTTAAATAGTATATCTGCTATTATAATTACGTCCAATCTTGTTTGAAAAAAGTAAGAGCTGGTTCTTGCCAGTTTTTCTTTTCTATACTCCGAGATATTCTAAATTCCGAACTGATAGTAGATTAGTTTTATCTTGAATTATAATAAATATTTCTTTTCTATTTAATTTTATATTAAAAAATAAGTACATTTTACGAAACTTAATTTTAACGAGTTTTACTGTTATTAAAATTACTACAACAATTATTTTTTCTCCATTGTTATTGTTATTATCATAATATCAGAATTTTTATATTCATTTATGTTTACAGAGATTTAAATAAATAAATAATATATTCATTCATTAATTGAGATTCATTGACGGTTCGGTGATCTAGCGGTTTGGCACGCCGCTTTAATTCCGATGGTGGCGGGTTCGATTTATCGTACGGTGCAAATATTTGTGTCCATGTGTATGCTTGTTTTTATCGGTCTGGGTGTATTCCATGTTTATTATGTATGCGTTTACAAAAAAAATGGCGTTGTATGAATTGTCCAGGGATAATATTATCTTATATATAAAATTCTCGTGTCACAATGTTAGTTCCCATACTCCTCTGAAACGACTTGACCGATTTTTATGAAATTTTATATGCATATTCAATACGTCTGAGAATCGGCTATCTATTTTTCATACCCCTAAGTGATAAGGGTCGTCCACCCCTAACATATTTTTTTTTATATTGTGGTCAAATTTATTTATTTATATAAAATTTATTACTACCCAAAATTTTCACCCTTCTATCACCAGCCCCTATTTTTATATAGCGTTATTAATCTATATGGCAAAACAACGTTTGCCGGGACAGCTAGTTACTATATAAAATTCAAGCACAATTCAGTATCTAATGTGACGTCAATAATACGAACACCCCGTTCTTACGTGAAGATAACATGACGCTCATAAAGTTTGTCACCCCTGTAATTTTAACCGAAAAGTACCTCGTAAAACTGTTGTCAATTCCTTCCTTAACTCGCGTGAGATTGACTACCCTCAAGCCGGGAATAACTTATTATTTGCTTGCTTTAGCTTCTAACGTTAAACTCTAGAATGTTCTGTTTACGATTATAGCTGTACAAAGGTGGGCACTGTGACGCTGTATCCATATTAAGTATTAAAACAATTTATAAAAAAAAATAGTGATGATACTAGCATAATACACTTGTCTATGTTTATGATATATACTGGCGTAGTTCTGATGGAAGATGGTGATCTGATGATGAAGTCAGAACAGTTATTCTTTCGTGATGAAGTCACCAGTAACAGTTTCCAGTTGGAACCCCGTGGAGGTCGACCTGACAGACA